ACACACACACACACAAGGGAATAGACCAATTAGTTCCTCAAGTTAAAAACTGAAAGAACTGTGGATGCTGTATATCAGGAACAAAAACAGAAGTTGCTGGAAAAGCTCAGCAGGTCTGGCAGCATCTGTGAAAAAAAATCAGTGTTTATGTTTTGGGTCCGGTGACCCTTCCTGTGAGGCCTGACCTGCTGAGCTTTTCCAGCAACTTCTGTTTTAGTTCCTCAAGTTGTTTTGCGGTATGTTCCTCCACATGTGTTCTTCCACATACCAACCATTCTAACATGGCCTGTGTTACCTTCTTTATCTGAAATCCAGCACGAGGATCCAAGATAAGAGGAGATTATTTCCAGTGAGTTGTTTTTTCCCTCCTTATGGGCTAGGAAGGGAGAGTTTTCTGGTCAAACCTTCAGTCTGAATCACTGTGTTTTAATTGCTCAGTTCAGAGGGGCAGTAGCTAAACCTGGAACTGCCACTACGGTTAAAAGATTTGTTGTTTGCCCAGACCAACCAGATCCCAGTCTGAAAAAGATCAAGTTTAAGCTTTGGTGGAGAACTTTCCAAATATATCATCTTCTTTTAATAAACTTTTCTTTTATCCCTAAAGTTGCTCTTTGATTTGCCAGCAGCTGTTGTATTTTGTTTTTCTCTCTTTGGATTATCAGCATTGTGCCTGTAGACTATGTACTTTGAGTTATGATCGTGACTTTGAATGTTTACTCTATTGTGCTCCACAGATGCTTTCTAATGTATTGAACAATCCCAACACTTTTTCTTTGTTTTTTTTATATTATGTACCTACTTCCTAGTGACTCTAGTCACAAAGCAATCTGAGGGTTTATCCTCTGAGCCTTTTGTGTCCAGGCATTGACCTGTTCAATTAACTACCAATCAACTGTCCAGACCCCACTACTGACCGAATCATCATTGTTCCACACAAATATTTTAAGTCTAATCTACATTTCCCAGAAGCAGTAAATTAACACACAGGAAATGAATTTAACTAATGTCAATTGCAACAAAAACCTTTGCATAGGCAGAAATCCTGGAATGTGGATTTTACACTGTTTACACATTCATAATCTATTCTCACTTGTAGCTTCACAATGAACGATTATTCGATAAGTTCAAAATAAAAATATTCTGTTTCTACCCTGCTCCTTCAGTTCTTATTATATCTAGAGACTTGGAGAATTTTGATTTTTGATGGTCCTGATTGTGGATTATGTTGCTAGGCAATGGAATACTTTTACAAATATCATTCTGTCCCCATCAAGCACAATCAGGTCAGGCACAGAGGAAAAGCTGCCAAATGCTCTTTAAAACAATGCACCTCAAACTCAATTATTTCATGGAAGAGTTGTGATTTTTATCTAATTCATTTCAGCAATGTCCAGGCTCAAAACACTGGACAGTATTCTGGTTTGGTGTGTATATGAGGCATTCAGATTTATGTTTGTTTTGCTGTTCATTTATGGTGACATTGAGGCACAAAGATGAAAGGCAAGAGCACCACTGATTACAAGTTTGTATGCCAGAATAGAGAAATCTGTTTGGACATGTATTGCAATCAAAATGGAGTTTATTTGCCATTTGGCTTGAATCAGAAAAGAGGTTTTGTAGACCAACTGAAGACCTGCTGGAGTTCTAGTGATAGTAATAGCCTATAAATTAGGCAATTCCCAATCTTATAATTGGCAAGATCGTCCCTGTTGTTACCATCTTATAATGTCAAATATCATCTAATATTTCTTGGGTAGATTTGCCAGCACCAATTCTACTTGTTTGTATTAGTCTAGGCTACTATCACCATATAGGATTGGATGATCTTGATGACAGTATTACGTATTACTTAATAGCTGGTTACATTATGTCTATGATACATGATTATCTCTGCGCACATCAGGTTCAGCTGAAGAGTAAGTTCACATTACAGATACTAAAACTTTGTCAAAGCATTTGTAACAGGCAAGGGACCAAAAACAGATCTTGCTAAGACACATTACACAATTCTGGCTAGTTTCTTCCAGGAACAGTCCTTCATGTCCTGATGGATGAAAACCTATCTTGTGACATCGGTTAACTCTTTCAGATACTAACTGTTTTATACTAGACCCAGCTACACCAACATTCGGCATCACGGTAAAAATTTTGCATAGTCTTACAAGGATGCAACCTTCACTTACAACAAACAAGGCCAAGTGTTTAAGGGACAGGGCAAGGGATTACAATTTACACTGCCAAAATTTCCATTGTCCCTGATCTAACAGTACCAATTGTAGTACAAGCTGAAGAATGGTGTTGATTAACACTTCATTTTTTTAGATTGACTAAGATACTGTACAGCAGCCTCATCTATAAAGGAGGTTGAGGGTAATACTTTCTCCTTATTGTTTACAACAAAGTGCAATCTTCATCTAAGACAGGATCAGGTGCCTGTCATTGGCATGCCAAAGAGTGTACCTCACCAACCTCCATTGTAATCCATATAAATACATATGCTACCATGTCTATGTGGTCGGAGGGCACTCATGGTACCCTTTTGGAAACACTTAGTTTGACTTTCATACAAGAACCCTAAGGAACTAAATGGTGCAATTTTTTTGATCATATTTTGCAAAGAGAAATCTCCTCAGAGTGCAAACTGAACATCTTGAAGCTCTTGCTTTTTATTTCAGGTGCTTATCCAATTCCGTATGTATCGTCTGTGATACCATATATCACACTAATGCAGAACAGATGTATCTCTGCATGCTTTTAATGTGGATTGGTTTGTCCAAATTGTCCAGCTTTATGAGCTCTGAGCTGGAATGTGGAAACTAGTTCTGAGCACCACACTTGAAGGACAATCTGAATGCAGAGTGTGCAAAAATGATGCATCAGAATGGTCACAAGGATAAGGAATTTGAGTTATATTGATAGATTGGAGAATCTAGGGTTGTTAAAATTAAAGATATTATTAAAAGTATGATTGGTTAGAGGTGTTCAAAACAAGAGGTGCCTAGACAGAGCAAATAAGAGAAACATGTTCCTGTTGGTGGAAGAATTAAGAATCAGAGGAAACCAATTTATTCACTGATGATTAGTAAAAGAAGCAACGGTGACATGAGTAAAAACATTTTACACAGTTAGGATCTGGAATGCTTTCAGTTATGAAAGTATCAAGTCTGCTAGCTTCTACCCACCTTGATAATAGTGTACTTTGATCAAGTATATTTATTCTCTAAAATCAATTACTTTGGAAATTTTGGCTGGCACAGAGATCATTGTGCACAGCCTCTACAATTTGCTACTCTGGAATGGCCAGCATGAATTTTAAGAACGTCCTTTCTTTATTGCTTTTGCTACACAAGTGGCAACACAAATGCTGCTATCACTGTTACATTATCATAGAATCCACTATCTCAATAAACTGTAGCACCCATCTTTCTGCAGGGGCTGCCCGCTCCCTGAATCTGACCCATTCCCTGCTATGAAGCTCAACCACTGACCTTAACTGGGTATGTCTCTTGGAGGCCACCTCTTCATTGGCTATCTCCTCCAAAATCTCTTCTGAGGCCACTCTACGCTACCTCAGGATGCTAGTATTGGATGCTGCAACAAAAAATCAGCCCTTAGCCTCCCTCAAATTTTCAAGAACATGTTAAATTTGGATCTTAATTATTCTCTAGAAGTTAAACCTGTTGATTAAGAATTTGGGCTGAATCTGATCGCTGGCTGCAGAAATGTTAAGAAACCCACCACAGATACTTCAAAGAGCCCCGATGATTAAAAACCAATCAGGCATTAGTTTGGTTAGCATTGAGGTTTACCAGGTCCTGCAAAAGGTGGATATGTCCCACCTCTGAGCCCTGGAAATCAAGCAGAGGGTCAGTATGAACAGCACCACTGAGAGTGATGGTGTTGCATTATGCCCAGAACATGAAGCAGCCATGGAATCCTGGAATCCAGGTAAGTACAGGGGCCTTACAAGGACCAATCAAACATATCCTGGCAAACAGCAGAAAGAGGATGGGTCAGTTTTAAGGGCGATGGAGTGTCTTTTTAAATGAGTGTCCATTGCCACTGGTCCATTGCCCTCCAACGAACAAAGGGTGCCCGAGTAGGAGGAACTCCATCTCTACTACCCAAAGGTTATTTGTACTCTATTGACATGCCATGCCAACTCACTCTGCTGCTGGTAAATCATTTATTTGCTCCTTAAGGACATCAACTGGCCTCCAGGTAGAAAGGCCGTCCTTGCATTTTTCCCCTGGACTTAACTGGGAGGATTCAGAAAAAAACAGGTTTTCCAGCCTACACCTTCTTGCCCCGTAATACAGTGCTACTCCCCACCTCCCAGCATGATGTGGAGATGCCTATGTTGCACTGGGGTGGACAAAGTCAGAAGTCAGACGACATCAGGTTATAGTCCAACAGGTTTATTTGAAATCACAAGCTTTCCTAGTGCTGCTCCTTCGTCAGGTGAAGTCTTGATGAAGGAGCAGTGCTCCAAAAGCTTGTGTTTTCAAATAAACCTGTTGGACTATAACCTGGTGTCGTGTGACTTCTGACTTTGACCACCTAGTGTGTTCTTGAGGGTATATTAAATTCCATTGGTAAATATCTTTTTAACGGCACAATAAATATTAATTAAATGTTAATCACAACTGTGGTCTCAAATGGAAACAATTTAAAGTGCTCAATCTCATTTTTGCTTGTGGTCAATAGTTTGTTGTCATTTTTAAAATGTCATACATTTATTTCTTCTCTTGTTTCTCTCTCTCTGAATTCAATCTCGCTATTTCTCTTTCTGTACCTTATTTAATACTGATTTCACACACTCTAACTAACCCTCCTCAATCTTTATTTTGTTTCTATTTCAAATCTTAGGTTCCATTGGTTAGGGAGGTAAAGCTTTGGTCCCAATAATCATTGAGGACCTAGATACTCCGTTGCCCTTGTTACATTTTTAACACCTCACAGTTATAATGTGTTATGGTGCAAAAAAAACATCAGTCTAAGGCAACAGATAAAATAAATTAATGTAACTGAGCATGATCTGCTTTTTTATGTCTCATGATCAATATGTCACAACCTTTAAGAAGCATGCTTATGATATCAGCAACACATTATACTATAGCCGAGGGTATAAACGTTTCATATTCTATCTTACCTCAGATCACTTGAAGCATGTCAGTCTACTGGAAGTATGCTCCTCTGTTGTAACTGACAACTTAATGTTAGCTCAAATATTTATGTGCCAGAGACTATATTTGTTTATACCCAACAGCTAGATATAATAAATGTCTTTTCAATTTTTAATACCACAATATCCATGCCAAATTTCTCAAGTTTTGGAATGAAATGTGTGTATTGTTATAACAGGCAAAACACTCTGGTGGAGGCAAACTCACAGCATTTTTCAGAATCCTGTGGCTAACACGGGCTGCATGTGTGATGAAGCCTTTTCATATTGCCCCTCCCCTAACATTTAATCTGAATCATTAATATAAGAAGAAAGTAATACACACAATAAAGTATGTATCTACTAGTAGGAAGAGAGAAAAAGAAATTCTGGAACTAAAGTTTGTCTCTCTTATACTTGGTATTTCCTCTCACTGATATTAGGACATCAACAAGTTGAAAGATTCTGAAACGCTTTGTTTTCAGAATCTCAGTGCGCTATATCTGTGAATTGGCTAGAGTGTACATTTCTAATGAAAAATAAGTTAGACACAAATATGGAAAGAAATTATAAGCTTATATGAACATGTAAATCTGAGACTGTCAAATTACATTTAGTATATGCAAGTAAATTAGTTACTTTCTGCGATAACTTGAATACCCTAAGGAGAGAAGGTCGGCTAGGATTAATAATTAGCGTCCAGAGAGGATACAACATTTGCCCGCTGTGTATGAGTCATTGAATATGGGGTTGGAGGCAGACCTTCCCCAAGGGAGAAATGCAGATATACTTTACATAAATTTAACTTAATTTTAATAAATAACAGGGCTAAATGGCATTTCACTAGTGTAAAGATGATAGAACAAGTTGATAATATTGTGGGCACACCATTAAGAGTTTCAACTAGTACTGTACTACATAATGATAACCAATAAGTCGTGAGTTAAGGTATTCAGATACAAAATATTGAAAGGCTATGCAAGTCTTCACAAGCATGCAAATGTTCGCAAGAAAGATTTTTTTAATGGTCATCATAACTATGTATATTTATGCATGGATTTTTATATGAAACATTTATATCATGGATTGTGGGTGGAGGTTGTTTATTCTCACAGAGAAATCATCTTGCACAGTATAATGAAAAGCAGAACAGTGCCTTCCTTTATGTCTCACTCCAGAGACTCAGAAAAAATTAAAACCAGGCACAGCTACAAGCCGCCCCAAAGCGAGTTGAATTTTCTCCCCTTCAAAACAAACTAGTGCCTCCTGAAGGGCCTCCTTAAAAGCTGAAAATTGTTAAGAAGCCATCTAATTTTAGAACAACTCGATGGCAACAAGAAGTTCTGAAGTTATTTTCTGTATCTACGCTTTCATTTGTTGATTCTCCCTGACAGCTGTTGCTTCTCAGCCATGTACTATCCACTATTTTAACATGTTATAAAGTCACTAATTGGAAGCAGACCAAATCTTTTAAGTTTTTGTAACAGGAGCAAAGCAACACACAAGCAGAAATAAAGGCAATCCAACAAAAGGATTAACAAGGAGCAGGACGTGTAAAGTAAGAGGATTTGTTTGTACCTTACCTTTCTGTCTTTTAATCTGTCAAGAGACAGCCTGGGTGTGTCAGGAATATCTAACAGTGAAGTGTTTAACCAACAACAGCATGTGGGTTGGGCTGTACTGTACTGGGTTGGGCTAGGCTGGACTGGCAGGCAGACTCAAAATTTTCCAACAGTTCATCCCGAGCCAAGTGGAACCGCAGGCCTGAAGAATTTTCAGAATCCTGTGTATAGCATAAGCAACTGCTGACTGAGAAATCATTCCATGACTAAATTCTGCTCAGGCCTGACAGTATTATTTACCTAGCTTTCTGGTCGCCTTCCGAGAGGACAGCAATTGAAGGCACCCAGAATTGATTAAAACTCTCTTTTATACTCAAAGTAAGATTATTCTTTTAAAAAATGAACTGGGTAGTCAGATCATTCATGTCATCCCAGCTCTGTTTTCTTAAAAGATTGTTTGAAGTAATGCAAGTCTACATGCTCTCATAGGAGGCAGCTGAGTAAGTCACTATAAACATTATTAAACCATTACGAGTACTTTATAGGAAATTATTTGCCCATGATCCTATTTCTTAAATGATTTGAATTATTATTTCAGGAATATTATCACTTCAGTGTATCCCCTTGGTGCCCATTGCTCTGTCATCCATTCACTTCTGCTACTGTTAAGTGCTTACAATATCTGAATTATTGTATCTTATTGTGATCAACGATGACGCAAAGGAGCTCTGCATAATACACTTCAGAGCTTCGTAAGAGAAATATTCTCTCTCTCATAAAAATCTATGAGAGGAATTTTATGGAAAGGACTAAAATAAGGTGAATGTCAGAAAATACCATGATCAATTAGGCTTATAATAAAAACAGAAAATTGTGGAAGTATTCAACAAGTCTGTGGATAGAGTGAAAGATTTGTCTGCAGGTTTCGGGACTCCGATTTGGGGCCTGAAGGAAAGCCCATATCTCATACTTGCTGGAAGCAAGACCAACAGAGTGATTTTCCTGAAGCAGCATCCCAATTGCTGACCTCTAAGGATGCCAATCCATTAAGAGTCTGGACAAGCTCCCGACCTGTAGGCCAATCTAGCAGCTATAGAGCATCAGCAACCCCAGAAGGAGAGGCGAGTGCTGTGGAGGCAGGTCCATGGCTGTGAGGGCACTTCAACATTAAATGTCCTTGCTGGCCTCAACAACAAATAAGTAACCAGCATGTAGACTGGCAGATGATTTGGGTTGGAGGGATTCACCATCTGTTGAGCCCAGTTCACAGTCTTACTCAAATGCAGTGACCTTTCCGTGGCACAGAGTGTCCAGCTCCAATGCCCTACCAGTCTGTCTCAGGGTACCTTCAGCCAGCTGGCATCCTCTACACATAACCCTGCTGTGACAAACTAACAAAGAGGTGGAAACATTGCCTCTAATTGCAGACTCAAAGTTAGCTGGATGCCCATATCCATGGAGCATGTAACCAATCCATTGCCCACTCTACCCTGTGAAAGAATCCCAATGACATGAGTGCATTGGGAAACCATGCATTGCCCACTACCTTCTGGCCTCCTGCCATCTCCACGCCCACCATAATGGAGTTAGGAAATTTCAGCCCAGTGTTCTAGGTCTATGATCACTCGGATGGTCAAACACGAAATGTCCGTTTCTCATTCCGTCAATGCTGCCTAATTATTTTCACATCTCCTGTTTTCTTTTTCAGATTTCAGATTTCAGATACACTGTGAGAGACAGCATGGAATCAGTGATGGTTCCACACACCTCCACGGGTAATGTATCATTGTATCATTCAAACAGGGAACCCATTGCCATTCAAGGCTGGGATGTGTATAATGGAATGTTGACATCACCACTCTCTCTCATACTGCAATGGCACAAAGTGCTGCCTCTTTCAGTTTTAAGACTATCCTACAGAATGGACAAGCATTTCAGGGTACTTTAGTGATCTGCATGAACCCAAAGCATTGAAGGCCAACTGATGGTGGATATATGAAAAGGAGTCCTTCCAACCTGCTGCCTATCACTCCCAACATTCAGATACCGTATGCTGAACATAGTCTTAAAATCTGCCTAACATCGGCATCATGTGATGTTTCTGTGCTGTCTCATTCATTGCTGCTTTCTCCTGAACAATGAAGAGTTCCTGTAAAGTGTAGATACTTCAAGGTGGGATCAGCCAAAGATACCACACTGCAATAACATGGATTAAAAAAAAACACTTAGTCAACAACAGAAAAGTTGAAGGAATACAGAAATAAACAGGTTCACACTGACTGAGGATTGCTGCCAACCAACAAAAGGGTAACACAATGAAAGGAAGTCCAAACCCAACTCTTTCATCCTGGAAGCAAGTTTCCATCAGTTCTTGTTAACAGTGCATAGCTCTAGTACCCTTTCTTCAGTGTCACTCCTGTCACAACCTCATCCATGGCCAATTGTAGTTGATTCTTCCTTTTCCCTGTATCCAAGACATTCCCTCCTATTTGGATCCAGTCTGAAGGGCACAGCATGCCAGAATGATGCAACATATCCATCCTAGACAATACTACAAAATCCCACTGGAGTTGGCCAGGCATCAAAATCCAATTATAAGGAGGCCTGTGGTCTGTTCAGCAATGACCCTAGTGGAATCATGGACAGCACTTTATATCTTTGTATTGCATTGGTCTGAGGTTTCATGAAGGTATCACCAATTATATTTGGAGGGGGCAGCCCAAGTTTCCCAGCAGCCAACCTTGCCTGGCCTGAGGAACTTGGAAGGAGGCAGAAACATTTGAGTTCTCCGGTATGCACACATCATAACAGCTCCCAGGACATCTTGCCAATATCTGGCACCATCAGTCATAAATGAGCTGGAGATTGACAAATGTTGGCAACAGAATGCTCTTTAAGGTAGGTGAATACAGTCTATAAAGCTGAACCCTTGGGGGAAGTCAACAATGTTGGAGAATCCCACTGCTCAGGCTGCTTGACACTTCTGGCCATTGGAGAAGGATACAAACTGAGTGCAATCTAAATAAAATGGTATTGCTGACATCTTGGATGCAGTGATGTGCCAAAGATTGGGAGATGTTACACAGGTTCCCTGTTGGTCCTTGTGACATGCCACTAACTTAAAATTCAGGATGAATGTAACCTTGACAGATTCCTTGGAATGCATATCCTTGGCAACAATGATTCAGGACATCCCTAAACTCTGCCTGCTCTGGTTTACTGAGAGTTGTAGATAATGAAGGCGATGCCAGTAGACGTGAGATCTGGGCATTCTCCAATGTGTCATCTGGGGCTTTTCTCCTGCTCCTTCTCCCTCTAGAGGCTGTGTGTCAGCCATTGGAGGTTGCTGTTCTCGCTGGGCCTTGTGACAATGATGTAATCACTTTTTTTTATGCTGCCATCTGATTCCTAACGTTGCCATAGAACCATAAAACCCCTACAGTGTGGAAACTGGCCATTCGGCCCAACAAGTCCACACCACCCCTCTGAAGAGCATCCCACCCAGACCCATTCCCCTACCCCTGCGTTTCCCATGTCTAAACCACCTAATCTAAACATCCCTGGGCACTATGGGCAATTTAGCATGGTCAGTCCACATACCCTGCACATCTTTGGACTGTGGGAGGAAACCGGAGCACCCGGAGGAAACCCACGCAGACACGGGGAGAATGTGCAAACTCCACACAGACAGTTGCCCGAAGCTGGAATCGAACCCAGGTTGCTGGCACTGTGAGGCAGCAGTGCTAACCACAGAGCGACCATGCTGACCCTGAGCACATGTTTTCTATCTAAGATACATTAACCAATATTCTGTGGAAAATGTCAGAAATGTACATCATATCAATCAAAAATGTCAGAATTGAACGTCATATCAGTCACAGTACTCCTGATCTCTCATATCACATTCTGTTGTAATCCCAGCTGATATCAGTAGACATCATGATCCAATGACAAAAGGCCTGTGACAGTCTTTACGAAGTATCAACATGCACTCAAGAATTGAAAAACTTTCTTTGAAAGATTGTATTTGCTGTGTGAATGAAATGATAAGACAGCTTCTTTAATAAGCAGATACTGCAAGTGTTCAATGTAGCAGAGAGAAGGTGCTTCAAGTCAGACACTGGCCTTCGGAATTTAGCGTAGCTTTATATGAGGGCAATGATATATAGTACTGTATCAAGAGAAAGATAAGGAAGCCATTGAATAAAGGAAATTTTTACCACCTCACTCAATGGCCAGACTAATAAATCTTCCAGCTGGAAAATTGGATTGGAATTTGAATAGGGACTTGATTTTTCTCACCTTAGATATTAAGGACTGAACGTAAGCCGACTCTGATATGCAGTTTGTTTCTGTTCTGAAGCATGAGGGCAACTGCTTCATTTTTTTTAAAGAAAAAAGCTTGGACGGGGAAAGCAACTCATAAAGCTCCACAGCATTTCTCCCTAATAATGCACTGAAACATTTCTGCAATGCGTTGCCAGGCAACGTTAACAGTCAACAGTGATTTAAAAAACACAGTAAATTTTTTCAAAAAACAAAAATGACTGCTTGAAATTGAACCTTCAAGGTTCAGTAGCCCATAATGAAGAAGTTTCTTTCAACTGGCAGAGGTAGTGCTGGGGAAGCTTCCATACAGTGTACAGCAACTGACCTCTGTTTCCCCGAAACACATACAGTCAAAACACAAATAAACCACAGTGCAAGGGTTGATCACCAGACAATTTAAAAGCAATATTACATTTCCTGGTGGCATTCTTCACAAGTCAGGCAATGGGATCTTTGCTGGGCTGGCCTTTCAAAAACTAAAAAAAAAGGAGAAATGCAAATAGAAACGGCAGACAGAATGGCTCCAATGGACCTGCTGTAAAATAGCAAAGCAAGATAGTGCATCAAAATCTGTATAAAAATTTAAGAAAAATTTACTACTTGAAGATTTGGCCCCCACTTTCACAAATTTTCCTTAAATTCATTGCAGTGTTTTTTCTTTAGTTTTATTAGTATACTGTACTGTCAAAACTATTTCAGACAGGACAGGGAATAAAGAAGCATCTGGAATATACTGCGCGATATTAGGCAAATGAAACTCACAAGAGAATGAATAT